ATTGAACCTTTTCACAATATTCTAATTTTCTGAGATTGTGGATTTGCGGTTTTCAAGAGCTGTAAGCCATAATCATCTCAATTATGACACGTCACGGCTTGAACTATCTTGCTTTGCATGTAACGAGTCTATCTCATATATTAGGTTCACCTTTTCAGTTGCATTACTGAAATAAATGAACTTCTGCATGATATTCTAATTTTTTGAGTTAGACCTGTACTTCCTGTGCAATGTAGATTTTATTTATTGACCCTTAATATGTAGGTGATAGTTAATTAAGGTCAGAATTTGAGTTGGCTGCCAAAAGTCATAACTCGGTAATATTTTGGCACTCTGTAGCAGGTGTTCTAAAGGAATGGAGATTTTCATTTGATATACCAATCTGTACTGAGGACTGGGAGAATTATTATCAGTATTTGTTTGCTTCCATGGAACTTGTAGAGAAACTGTCCTTAAGCAATGATTCAGTAAACCCTAGAACTCCTCCCCCTTGGCCAGGAGAAAAGACATACACTCCATTATTAAAAGCTTAAATAGCAATAAAGCCCCAGGTGAAGATTTCTTACCAGCAGAATTATTTAAGAAATTTCCCAATTGATGGGGTCCAATATTGGCAGGTCTTTAACACTTGCCATATACCAGATGGGTGGAAGATGTCAATAGTTGTCCCATATATATATAAAAAAGAAAATAAAAACGATCCTAGTAACTACAGGCCCATCAGACTGATTGACATTGTAGCAAAAATATATGCTAGGTTCCTTTTAAATCAGGGGTCTTCAAACTTGACAGAATTCCTCCTCCAGTCCTGTTAGCTCTGGAATTCTGGTAGTTGAAGTCCACAAGTCTTAAACTTGCCAAGTTTGGAAACCCTTGTTTAAATAGAACTGAAATCTGGGTAGAGGGAAACCATGTCCTTGCAGAAGAATAAGCAGGTTTTAGACAAAGCTGATCCACTGTTGACAACTGCTTTAACATCTAATTGCCAAATATGCCTTTAAGATCCCTTTTTGCTGCTTTGATAGACCTCACAGCAGCATTTGATATGATAAACAGAGAAGTACTATGGAGAAAACTGACATCTCTTAAAATAGAACCTAGACTGCTGGCTTTGATTAAAGCCCTTTACACAAATACCTGTTTGAGGGTGCTGACTAAAAGGATTCACCCAAATAAAGGGGTAAGGCAAGGGTGTATCCTGGGCCTATTATTATTTAATTCATATATCAATGATTTGCCAGGGTTAATGAAGGTACATATGCCGATGATCCTAAATACATACTGTAACAGCTTACTCTATGCTGGTGATATGATTTTATTATCGTATTCACAAGTAGGATTGCATAGGCTACTAAAAAGATTCAACTCTTATTGCCAACTCCCTAGGTCAATTCCCTAACCATTAGTAACTCTAAATAAAAAAATCATGGTTTTTGGAAAATAGCATCAGAAACATAGATGGCAATTAGATGATGAACCAATTAAAGAGGTTAACACATTTGTATATTTAGGCAGATTGGATCTTGGGCTTGCCATCATCAACCGAGTACACTTAGAGGAAAAGCTTGTTTGAATTTTTATGTACTTGCCAGGCTGATGGTAAATCAGAACTCCTGTTGACTGACAAGGGGCCGTTTCCCAGGTTTCAATCACTTCCCTGGCTGTTTTTTTACTTGCTTGCCCAACACTCTTAGTGCTGCAAAATTGAATGTATGTCCTTGCTCATTGCAATGTGAACTACAAATGAGTTTAGATCTCCTTATCTGACCTTGTTGCAATGAACAAGGGCATACATTCAATTTTGCAGCCATGGTGGCGCAGTGGTTAGAATGCAGTACTGCAAGCTATTTCTGCTAACTTTTGGCAGTTCAATTCTCACCGCTCAAGGTTGACTCAGCCTTCCATCCTTCCGAGGTCAGTAAAATGAGGACCCAGATTGTTGGGGGCAAGAGGCTGACTCTGTAAACCACTTAGAAAGGGCTGTAATGCACTGTGAAGCGATATATGTCTACTCAATTTGTTGGACAAGCAGGCACAAAAACATCTGGGGAAAGGATTGAAGCCTGGGAAGCAGGCCTCTTATTAGTCAACAGAAGTTCTGATTTACCACCAGCTTATCAAGTTCTTAGGAGGTGAGGGCTTGGTAGCACAAGTAAACAATAGCCAACAACAATAGCCAGCCATCAAGACCCCAATCAACATCTAAAAAGCCACACACAACAGGCATCATATAAATACCACACACAGAATAGCCCAAAACACACACGCTGTGCTAGAGAGACGTTCTCTGAGGATGAGCTCCAGCAGGAGTTCAAAAGCTCAAAAGATCTAAACTTCTGGTATCCGTGACCCAGGCAGGCTGGATCCTGCAACATTATTCTGGGACACGTATATTCGCCTTCATATGTGTTATATTTTCTTATCCAAAGAAAAACTCTTTTAAAATAATTTTTACCAGAACATTTGTATTGAAAATGTTTAAAAAAAGTGTTTTTATTGGGGAATATACATTTGTTTGTTACATTTTTCTATTGGAGGCTGATATTTGTGCAAACAAAAGACTGCAATAGCCCCAAAGGTATATAATTCTAAGGCTTTTGGTAAAAAGAAGGAACAACTAAAGAGAGAGGCAACCCCAAATATAAGCAGAGAAAAATAGCCATAATTTTCAGAAGTGATACTTAACAAAACTCAGTTTAGCAGACTTAAATTTAATGGGCATAATCTATTTTAAAGCTCATTTATCATTTTATACAGTGTATGCATGTGTGAAATTAAAGTTCTCTTAAGCATGTATAAAAATACTATTAAAGCCCTATTTGCGATTAAACAAAAATTCTGCTTCAATGGACACACTTTTGATAGTTATCAGGTCCAAGTTATAGAACTTGGAAAATACAAAATGGTAGCAAAATGCCATTTTCTTATCTTTCTGCAGCCATCTAGCAGTTGTCCCAGATGGCAACTTCTTCTACTAAAGCCATCTAAAACACTGTTTTTAAATAATTTTTGTTAAATATAGAAAGAGCAAAATTTTCTATGTCTATATAAACAATGTATTGTCTAGGTATAGTTAATCTGAGCAATAATCATCCTCATAATATTATTTTGATGTTCGTTAAACTACCCATTTCAGAAAGGCTCTGAACTGATCCTTGGGATAGGAGTGGAGTGATTATTTATCAGTTCTGAGTTATGGTTTCAGGCTTGGTTCAGCAATGGTCTCAATCAGGCTCTACTGCTGAATAAGGTGCATATAATCCATTTCAAGGGCACTCAGAACTTTCATTTCATTCTGGCAGCCTTTGAATGTGAATTGGGGATATTTGGCTTTCCAACTGTTGCTATACTTCAGCTCTCAAAGGCTCCGCCTAATGAGGACGAATGCTAAGATGTCTGGAGCAGGGCGAGGCAGTTTCTGGACTACAGCTATGTGGGACTTATTCCTAATGTCAAACGACACTGCCTAGTTTTGCTGGGAATTGAAATTTTAAGACCCCCATGAGGCACTGAGTTGCCTGTCCCTGATCTGGCACTGCTCCATCTTCCCTTTCCCAGGTTAACAATTTCGTGATTAAAATGAAACCTGGCACAGAGACAGATGTTTTGAATCAGGTGGTTGCTGTTAAGTCTCTTAAGTGTGAGTGATTCTTGCAGAAGTTACCAATCTTTTCCTTGTGAGAATCCAAGCTAACGTTTTCCATGCTAAATAGGTCTATTTCTGTTGGTAGACATTTATTGGCCGTTTTCGTCATATCATGGACTCTTCCCAGAATACTTTCAATGAGGACACATCTGCATTGGTGGCCCGGCTGGATGAGTTGGAGCGGACCTTATTCCAGACTGGTCAGAAGGGACTCCAGGACTTCCAATGCTGGGAAATGGGTCAGGCCTCCCAAATCACAATATCTAGCCTCATCCAGAATTACAAAAAGAGAAAATTCACTGACGTGGACAGCTAAGATCACAAAGAGGCCTTGTAGGAAACGTGGATTTTGTGGATACTTGGGTTCAAGCACTGAGAAGAACCAACGTTCACTTATCCATTTAAAATTATTTCCAGTAGTAATTTGAGATAGGATGCCAAATAATGTTCTGACTCTGAATGAATAGATAGAGCAGCAGCAACAAATTGCTTTGGGGAATAACATTTCAATGTTTCTATTTTGATTTTTGTTGTAATAATTTAAAGGAATTATTGGAATATTCCAATAATTCCATATTGGAAATATGGTGAATGAATGAAATATTCCATATTCCATTGCATGGAATAATTAGCTATTGTCCAGCAAGTTTTCTGTAGCAGTAATTGAAACATAAGCATATAGCTATCCTTTTTTAGTCCCAGTTTCCTGTTACTTGCCAGTAAAGTGGCCTTTCTGAGGACCATCAGAACAGATCCAAGGAGTGTAGCCTGTGTCTTCGCACTCACAAAGATGATTAGAAATGCGGCCTTCTTAGAAGAAAGTCTCTGAGCTGCAATTCTGTGACTACATCCAGGGTCTGAGAGCAAACAGTTCTCTCTGTTAAAAAGCTGCCTCTTGGGGTTTCATAGTCAATCCCATCATCATTAAAATTATATGTTGTCAGACTCCCAGCCACTTTGGGCAGTTGACCCTTGTTAAAAATACTTAAAAGTCAGAACAAAACTCACAAAAACACAGCATCAAACAAAATGATGATGGTAAAGACGACAAACCCAGAGGGGAGCAGCAAAGAAAGGGAGGTTGATTGTCCTTGCCAAAGGACTCTTCAAAACAGCAGCAGTGTGAGAGCCATTCAAATTCTGGAGGACTTCATTCCAGAGGACAGGGGTTGCCACAGGAAAAGTGCATACCAGAAAATGGCATTGGGACCTGGAGTGTGCCAGTCCTGTTAGAACAAACCAATCGGGTAGATACTGTGGGGAACTGGTGGTTCCTCAAGAGAGGCCAAAGCCGCATATAGAACCATGGAACATGGGCTTGAGATAGAATGTTTATAAGCTTGAGTCTGAGCCAAGGAGTGCCTGTTAATCCTGTCTGACAGATATAATAGATCACATAATAGACCATGTGAAAAGTGTGCGGAACATTTTCTTTTAAATAATTTTATTAAATATGAAAAACACCATTAAGTCAATTGTTTCGTTGCGTATATTATTTATCAACCCACTCCAAAACTGCGAGTTACAGAATAACAGGCGGAAGAGACCTTGGAGGACTTCTAGTCCAACCTCCTGCTCAAGCAGGAGACCCTATAACTATTCCAGACGAACAGTTATCCAGTCTCTTCTTAAAAGCCTCCAGTGAACCCATGATTGGATTGGAGGCAAGTCAAGTCCGTTCTAATTGTGAGGAAATTTCTCCTTAGTTCCAGGTTGCTTTTCTCTTTGATTAGTTTCCATCCATTGTTCTTTTTCTATCTTCTGATGCTTTGGAGAAGAGGTTTACCCCCACTTCTTCGTGGCAGCCCCCAAAGATTGGAAGACTGCTATGTTATCTATACACCTTTTCACTAGATACAACCCAATTTCTGCAACCATTGTTCACACGTTTTGGTCTCCAGCCCCCTAATGTTGCTCTTTTCTGCACTCTTTACCAGAGTGTCAATACCTTTTTTATATTGTGACCAAAACTGGATGCAATATTCAAGTGTGGTCTTACCAAGGCATTACAAATAGAGATTATAAAGACTTGTAAAGGATTATAAAGATTTACAACATCTCATATAAAGTTTGAAACAATTAAGGACATAACCAGATGGGAGAGTTCCATGCTTGAGGCTGCTGCTGGATAGATGGCAAACTACTTCCCCACCCCTTGCTCTCTGCTCTCCACCTGTCCACCTTGACATGTTCTTGTTTATGTTCTTTTTCATCGTTTTATTCTGTTATTTTACTTCTGTTTACACTCCTTTCATTTTTTCCCTTTTTATTGTAAGCCACCTAGAGTAGCCCCACAGTGAGATAGGTGACAATAAATAATCATAAACATAGAAGCCCAGACAAAAAATGCCATAAGAGTCATTTTTACTCTTGTAGTATTTCAATCGGTTTAATGTTACCATCCTGGGGAAAAAAAACTTTCTAGCAGATGCCCTGCCTAGACTATCACAATACAACAGTGCCAGACCTGAAATTGTCCAACCGGTCATTCCATCAAAGCAATTAGTGGCAGCAGTATTCACAAGGGGCCATGGGAAAGCCCACATTCCTGTGAGGTGCTAGACAAACTGAAAACTGCCTTAAAAGATGATGAATGGCTGATGGCGCATAAAGAAGAGTGCACTCTCAGGGACAGACTGGCCCGGGTAGGGACATAATTATATGTCCCTGCTCCCTGTGAGTAATGTTTTACAAACATTCCATGACTCAAAAGCAGCAGGGCATTTGGGCTTTTTAAAAATTCTGCATCTAGACATTAAATCTGTTGAGATCCAAATCATATCCAATCTGGACCATGATAGATGCCTATTTGAATAGAACGTAAATTGCTTAGATTTATCATTTCTTTCTCTCCATATGTCTTTTAAAGTTAATTCATCTATCATTTTAAAAAAGGATTTAGGAAGAGTTTTCCTGTTATGCTTTACTGTTGTTGCAATATAGTCAAGTCTATTATCCACAATTCCATTAAAGTCTCCCATCATAATTACATTAGCATAGTCAAGTTCGGCAGTCTTAGTATGTAATTTTCTATAGAATTCTTCCTGTTTATCATTCGGTGCATAAATTGCAATCAAAAGTATCTTTCTATTATTGTCCATTATTTCTACCATTAATATTCTCCCATCATCATCTGTATAAATCATTTTTGCTGGAATGGCCTCTTTAATATATAAAACCACCCCTCTTTTCTTGGATTGTGTCAAAGAGGTAAACAATTTCCCTAATTTTGGTTGTAATAACAATTGTTCATGTTGCTTTTTAATATGAACTTCTTGTAAACAAATTATGTCGAACCTTAATTTCATTAATTTATGGAAAATCTTCCTTCTCTTAGCAGCTGAGTTCAGTCCATTTATATTCATTGTAATCAATTTTTTTTCTTCCATAATTATGTTTTATATTTAGATTTAACCACTCTCGTGGGTCTTGCCTCACGTTGATCTTTAATATCCACTTGTCCACCTACTGCACCTTCTTCTTTTCCAACCTCCATTTGTTCCTCTTGAGATTCAATTGATGGGACCTCCTTTCCTGCTCCTCCTTCTCTGCCTCCAAAAACCTCTGCGCAAAACAGTTCTGCTTTCTCAATTGAATCAATTCTATGTCTCTGTTCCTGCCACGTAAACATCAATCCTTCTGGAATCAACCACCTGTAAGACACCTCTTTTTCCAATAACCTTTTAGTCAGGAATCGGTATTCTCTTCTCATCTCTCTCACTCTTCTAGGTATTTGTTTTAAAACCAAAATTTCTTTACTTTTGTATTTCAGTGGCTTCTCTCTTGCTACTTGCAATATTTGTGTCTTCAAAGATTTTTTAATAAATCTAATATGAACTTCTCTGGGTAGGTTATTTCTCATCGCATATCTTGTAAAAACTCGATATATCTCATCAATTCCATCCATCATCTTCTCTTCTGTTATCTCGAGCGCCTCCGCCAAGATTCCTACCATTATCGCAACCAAATCTTGTCCTTTTTCTTCTTCTATGTCTAGTATTCAAGAAGTAAATATTGAAACAAGTACTTGGGCTGA